CAGTTGTGCTCTGATCACTGGCATCATGAGTTTCATTTAATCAAATGCTTTTCTTTTTTTTTTTCTTTCTTTACTACATCCTGTTGTATAGGACTATACGATCTTTGTTACCATAGTTCAACAGCAAAGCTTTAAATACGCCATAAAATTAAAGCACATAGCAACTGCTAGACAATTATTCTACATACGAAAACAAGTAACGACTGATGACATTATCTTATGATTTTTTAGGGTTGTGGATAGTGAGTGGGGCGGAAAATGTGAAAGCATGTGTTGTCTTCGGCAACGAGTCTGTGCACCAAATATCAGTTTTGATAGGGTGACGGGAAGTGGGTCATTTGACCGTCCGAAGATGCAAACGAAGTTAGTATAAAAGAATTTAAAAAAAAAAATGTTTCTAAAAGTTAATTTATTATAATTTTAAAAAATCGAATTCAGTGTATTCCCCGTTTCTCCACTGTTCTTTCTTTACGGTTGCACCACCACTGGTCTATACTCCTGTTTTTTAAACCCCAGATATGATTATCCCTTTCAGTTCTTCTTTTGTTGCATATTTCCCCTGAAAGTAGACATTTTTGTTTTGGGGGAGCCCCAAATAACATAATTTACTGGTTTAGAATCAACCTATTAGAGGCCAAATGACTGGTAAGATGACGTTTACATTCACGAAGAAAGTTTATCGAGTTTCTTGGCGTGGGTGAAGGAGCTCCATCCAGTTCCTGTGCCCAGCTATGGCGATTGCATCTTTCTCGGATATCTTTAAGCAATCCATGTCCAAAGATGAGTTCAAAAAAATACTCTCTGTTCAATTTCGCTCTATGTTCTTCAAACACTACACTGATTGTTTTTCCCCATCCGAGAAACACAGTCGTAAAACATGATTCAATGTCTGAAATACTCACGTTTTCGTTCAAGTGTTCGTTGCTGGAATTTTCATTTTTCCAATTTCAAGCTGCAGAAGGCACAATCATTTTTTTTTAAATAGAAAAAACAGGAGTGGGGAGAAGACGCGCCTTTCGTCTGTAAACGTGTCGCTCCATATTATTCTATACTTTTGAAATCCATCAAATATCTATTTATGAAATAGCAAAACGAGGTATGTGGAAGCTTCAATTAGAGAACAGGACAAAAAAATAAGGACGTTTCGGCATAAAGGCCTTATTCAGCTAACAGTAGAAGTAAAAACATAAGAAAGACCAGAGCACAGTAAACAACTCAAGAAGTATCCATTTATGTCGCCGGCGTGTTAATTTGCAGTTGTTGAGCACAACCTGCCCTACAACGTGTGAGTGCGTTTGAAGCTGAAGATTTTGCCTAACAATATGTTGCACTGTTAGTGGAGATATGAAAGTTTAAATTTCAATTCTCCGTGATCTTTGTTATTGTGAGGATCATTAATCTAGTTGCAAATCAGCTCACGCACGAGCTGAGTATTCTGAGCTTTTCTTACTGACTTCGGCCGGCAGATTCCTGGGTTTCATGCCAAATTACCATCTGTATCATGTTAAAAAAACAACAAGTTCTTCCAAGTCGACAGAGGTTTATTTTACACCATGCCTTACTTCATATTTGTTTACACTCCGCTTCACCATACGATTCATCGTACGCTTTACTCTAGTCTTTACTCCAGTCTTTACTCCAGTCTTTACTCCAGTCTTTACACAACTGCTTCACTCCATGCTTTACTCCAGTCTTTACACAACTGCTTCACTCCATGCTTTACTCCAGTCTTTACACAACTGCTTCACTCCATGCTTTACTCCAGTCTTTACACAGCTGCTTCACTCCATGCTTTACTCCAGTCTTTACACAACTGCTTCACTCCATGCTTTACTCCAGTCTTTACACAACTGCTTCACTCCATGCTTTACTCTAGTCTTTACACAGCTGCTTCACTCCATGCTTTACTCCAGTCTTTACACAACTGCTTCACTCCATGCTTTACTCTAGTCTTTACACAACTGCTTCACTCCATGCTTTACTCTAGTCTTTACACAACTGCTTCACTCCATGCTTTACTCTAGTCTTTACACAGCTGCTTCACTCCATGCTTTACTCTAGTCTTTACACAGCTGCTTCACTCCATGCTTTACTCTAGTCTTTACACAGCTGCTTCACTCCATGCTTTACTCTAGTCTTTACACAGCTGCTTCACTCCATGCTTTACTCTAGTCTTTACACAGCTGCTTCACTCCATGCTTTACTCTAGTCTTTACACAGCTGCTTCACTCCATGCTTTACTCTAGTCTTTACACAGCTGCTTCACTCCATGCTTTACTCTAGTCTTTACACAGCTGCTTCACTCCATGCTTTACTCTAGTCTTTACACAGCTGCTTCACTCCATGCTTTACTCTAGTCTTTACACAGCTGCTTCACTCCATGCTTTACTCTAGTCTTTACACAGCTGCTTCACTCCATGCTTTACTCTAGTCTTTACACAGCTGCTTCACTCCATGCTTTACTCTAGTCTTTACACAGCTGCTTCACTCCATGCTTTACTCTAGTCTTTACACAGCTGCTTCACTCCATGCTTTACTCTAGTCTTTACACAGCTGCTTCACTCCATGCTTTACTCTAGTCTTTACACAGCTGCTTCACTCCATGCTTTACTCTAGTCTTTACACAACTGCTTCACTCCATGCTTTACTCTAGTCTTTACACAACTGCTTCACTCCATGCTTTACTCCAGTCTTTACACAGCTGCTTCACTCCATGCTTTATTCCGAAACACAATCACCATTCACGTAGCTCCTCATTGCTTTTCAATTCGTAAATATTTACTTCATAGTTCGACCTTCTGCTGACATTTTGGTCACCTTATGAAAACTGCGAAGACTGAGACATAAATCATTAAATTATAAAGATGGCGACCGAAATTTTACATAGCAGGGACGTCATGAAGTCCGTCTGGAAGTCGGGATATTGTTTCAGTTTAAAAACCGTCCTAATACTGAATATATTTTCCACACCATTTAGTGAATGCGCCACCCTATTATATTCCTTAAATGCACACAGAACTTAAAATCTAGAGACACTGGATAGCCTCGCACTATTCACGTCTTTCACCTTCTAACGTTTCATGACTTTACAACTCAATAGAATTTAAGCTCAACATTTAGGGGAAAATCAAGTATTTGCCATCGTTATGGCTTATATCTTGTAATTTAATTTACTTTAACTACCAGCAAATCTTCTCAAGGATTCTCTTACACAAACAACTTAAGTGAAAATAGCCGTGGACAGGATAAGTAGTAAAAGAAAGAGAACATAAAACAATGGACAGGCACGTAAATGTAAGGTAAATGTGGAGGAGGTTGATGGGTAAAGACAATAAGAAATGAAAGGTCGGTACAAGAGACGACTCTCTATTATTAGCAATATCTCGAGCCAATCATCAAAATAACATACAGTGTAAGATAAGACAATGGAAATGAGTTCTGATTCCATTAGTTTGTCTGTATGAGATCATACAAAACTAAACTAGAACAACGAGAAGGTACATTTTTTTCAAGTGCCCAAATCAGCCTTAGAATGTCGCCAAAGCTTAATTCCTTTTGATGAGGGCATTGACTTTCAGAGTGATGGTCTGAGTTTTTTTAACAGCCGAGGAAGCACGCTGGAAAATTCTGACAGATTGTGGAAAAAATGAATGGTTCTGTATCTATATAATATATATGTTATAATTAATATCACTACATGGTATTAAACAGAAACAAAAACGCCACATACTGGTCCTGCGTGTTTCTATTAACGTATGTACATTTTGCAGTGCATTAAAACAACACAATATTCTGTTTTTGGCAACACTACAAAAGATGACGCAGTTTATATTTTAACATCGTCCGATATTTTTTAAATACAAATAATTGCTAATATGAGACCATCAAGGCTTTTATTTTTATGTGGTTAAACATTTAACCTGAAAAAAGGAGCTTGGCACCTTTGAGCGATGGGCTGCCTTAAGCGGTGGGCACCCTAAAGCCATGGGCATCCTAGGCGGGTGTATGGGCGATGGTCTTATCCCAAGGACAATCCTAAACTGGAAAGGTACATGTTTCTTTCTTATTATGTCGTAATGGTTGTGTGGGATGGCAACATATACTTGAATGCGCAGCCAGACTGGCAGAGAATACGTTCATTATAAGACTACTGCTGTCATTAAAAAATACTCAGGTGATAGCAGTTAGTATTGACCAATGATGATGTCACCCTAGATCCTGGTCTATTCCCCAGGATAATAAAAGTGTTCGACCTCTGGCATTCATTACCCGTGTAGAAAACTGTAGACATTTTAGGAGATCGATTTCATTTTGTGACAAATACGAGAGTGACATTTTCTGAAATGTTCAAAATTTCATTCTTTAAATCTTAAATAATGAGATATTAAAAGTGATATGCGTAACTTTAAAAAAAAGTCTTTAGCAATTACAGTTTATCAAGTCGATATTTTACAAAGGTTTAACTGAGTAGATGCGCTCCTACCTCCAAGTGAAGCTAATAGAGATGTTGGACACATAATTACGACTTACATTTGGTTAAATTGTTCTTAATGTTCACAGCCTTGACTCGATGGTTAGAGGAAATATTGCGTCATAATAATTAGACAAATAAGCGTTTGGAGTGAATAATTAAGAAATGAAAGTATTAGCTGAATATAAGACTGCATACAGATTATTTCAAAATGTAACATTTTTCAGGCACCGATGTAAAGCAATTATTATTATTAAACATTTCTGCTTCAGTGGATTATTATTGTAAGAAAATAACTATTATTAATGTTATGAAAATTTATTAGACAGGACATACGGACAGGTACACACACAGAAGCTTATTTTTACAACATACATCTATATAAAACCATTGCAAGCACATAAACTACTTGAGAGGAAAATCATTATTTGATAAAATGACCTCGTCGGCTATGGAGCGTAGCGGTTTACAAGACATAGAGGTGTCTCCCCTTGTTGGGGGAGAAGTCGTACAGTTATTCACCTTTATTTCCATAATTTTCGCTCATTTCATGGTCCTACCGGGTCTCGTCTTGAACGCGATCAACGTCATCATATTCGCCAGGATGGGTCTAGCGGACTCCACCAACATCTCACTGTTAGGCCTTACCCTGGCGGACATCGGCGTCTTGTTGACCATGGTGGGGCTCTGCGTCCTCTTCAACCCTTTAACCCTTTCAGCGGCGCCATCTATGGACATCATCGACGCCATCAACTACATCGTCCTGGGGACCCCCTTGAACATATTCAGCCGGATATCCGGTCTCATAACCGGTTTCATAAGCCTCGAGAGGCTCTTATGCGTCGCGTGGCCTCTGCACATCAAATTTCTCGTCACAAAACAGAGAACAGTTCTCGTTGTCGTCGGCGCATACGCTCTGATGTTCACCAGTGGTATCCCAACGTTCATAGCCCACCCCATCGGAATGAGGTTCAACCCAGTCCTAAATGCAACAGTTGTGGGGTTAGTCTTTTCCGCAAACACCGAGGAGCTAGAAAATATTTCCGTCAGCGCTAACATCGCAGCCCAGACAGCGTCCTTTGTAGTGGTCACGGTATCAACCGTTTTCTTAACCAGGTCGCTGCACAGGTCCGCTCAGTGGAGAGGAGCCATCCATCGGCAAGCGTCGAAGAGTTCCGCCAGGGACAAACAGCTGGTCAAGATGGTCGTCTTAATCTCGGCAACCTTCATCGCCTGCTCACTGCCGCTCGTGGTTGTTAACGCGGTGATGCCGTTTCGGAACGAGTTCAGCTTCAAGGGAAGAGAAAAAAATGTGTTCATGTTAACCTGCGGTGTGTTCTTTGCGTTACAGTCCATCAACGCGTCGGTCAACTTCTTCGTCTACCTGGCCATGAGCTCCAAGTTTAAACAAAACTTGTACACTTTGTTGGGTCTTGAAGGTAATTCGTCAGATAGTAGTAAGTCTAGAGATGCACTAAAGACAGCAATCTAATATAAATATAGAACAATACAGCTAACGTAAATATAGAACAATATAGCTAATATAAATATAGAACAATCCAAACTCGTTCTAAGCCTTTCATCTGGGATGATCCCTGATATAAAGAACGGCACCCTTTAGGGAATTCAGGCAGGTGTTCTCAAACTTTAGGAATTAATTAACGCTTATATAGCATGTGCAGAAACCCCTGGGTTTGACACTTATATATTCTAAATAATTATCTTTATCGTTTGAACAGAAACAGCTACATCCACGAATTAAGTCCAGAATATACGAGCAGTGACTCTCAACCTTGTTCTTTCCGGGTCATCTCCTAAAAGCTTGCACGTAATAACGTTTCATCAAGCAACCGATCAAGTGACAAGGATATCGTAACTTTGGTCAGGCGGCACAGGTACAACTGTACCTTGATAGAGTTGTATGACAATTATCTGTTTAAGTAAACTTTCTGAACGGTATACGGTATATATACATAACATATAACATAGAGCGTCAATTTTCCGAATGTCGAGCATCTGCAACGGCAATTATCGGAATAACTCCTGTTTTATTATTGTGTCCGTCGTGCGCATGTCATTGTATTATATGTTACGTTGGAATGATGGAAATATAAAGGTAGAAAATGAGAACGAAACAACAACGTCTTGTTTGTTGACAGTTCAAGAGTGTAAGCTCCGCCAGGGGGCAGTCAATTTCTAGCAAAAGTATCGAGAACGCACCCAAGATTACAATTCCCGAAATAAATATGTATTTATTATGTAGCAACAAAAAAATAAATCATTTAAAAAACAGAAGAGGAACGCCGTTCCCATGCGTTCCTGAAGTACTCAAGCCCTGCATTTTACTTAAGGTAAATACAAAATTAGAAGTTGTTTGATACACCTATACCAATACATTAGAAATAACTAAAAGATAACACCACCCCAAGAAGAGCCCATAAGAATCCACACTGGAACAATCTTTCAAAAAGAACGGTTGAGGCGACAACACTAGACCCATTTGTGTCTATTGCCTCAAGCCTTCAAACCCCTAGCGCATGATTCCCTCACAAAGTGGCACTGGAAATCTGTGAAATTTCCTCAACACCAGGAAAAGAAACATTGCAAATCCCATCTACATGCATAGGAGCCAAAATGATCAATAAATTAATCGTGGACCCTTAAGATATAGAAGAAGAAAATTAATTCCACAAAGAAAATAACAATAAATTCACAGGTACCTACACAAAATTATTACCAAAAAAATAAAGTCAAAATCTGAATATAAACACAGTATTACAGTGGTTCTCATCCTGTTAGAAGCACCGCGCCTCCTCTTGATTGATTTCAAAACATTTCTCGCCACCCTATCTTGATATTAAAATATATTTTCCCAAGCCCAACGATAATTCTTGTTTTAAAAATAATAAATCTGATGTAATATTCCTTCGAGAGTTCCTTGACCATGTCTTCCCAGTCCCAGAGGAAGCGGGCACCTAGAGGCTTTAAAGACGTGCTGTAGACGGTCGATCTTTCAAACTTACTGGGACGGGGTCGTTTCAGGCAACATTTTTTCCCCAGATTACCGAACACTCCAGTGGAAATGCTGCGTCAATTATTATTTTTATTATTATACGTATGGTTTTATCTAGCGTGGTACCCCAGCCTAGGGCTGGGCTCGCCACGCTATACATACAATTTAGCAAACATAATACAAAATCTAAAATAATTAATTGACATACAGTAATTAAATAAAACAAAACAAACGTATATTTAAAACCATTTACATCTCAAGCCATGGACGACACTCAGTCAAGCCATGGACGACACTAAGTCAAGCCATGGACGACACTCAGTCAAGCCATGGACGACACTCAGTCAAGCCATGGACGACTGAGTCAGTTCGGTACCTGCTGTGAGTCAGTTCGCATGGACGACACTCAGTCAAGCCATGGACGACACTCAGTCAAGCCATGGACGACACTCAGTCAAGCCATGGACGACACTCAGTCAAGCCATGGGCGACACTCAGTCAAGCCATGGGCGACACTCAGTACCATCGTTTTTCGGTCAGGGGTGGGAATCAGTTAGGATAGTAGAGATTAAAGAGATGTGTTTTGAGTGCAGTGTTGAAGGTTGTGATGGTCGGTATATTGCGGATGTGTAATGGAAGAGAATTCCATCGTTTGGGTGAACAGAAAGAGAAAGATCGTCCACCGTATGTTTTTGTGCGAGTCTTGGGGACAGAAAGAATACGCGCGTCTGCGGAGGAGCGAAGCTGTCGAAGAGGTGAATAGAATATAAGTTAGTGCTTATAATATATTTTTACAAAATAGTTCAAACCGTTAAACGGTGCCACTGGGATCAGCTGATTGGTGTTAACAAGTAAGGAGTTGATTTATGTTCTCACGGGGGGTCAGCTGATTGGTGTTAACAAGTAAGGAGTTGATTTATGTTCTCACGGGGGTCAGCTGATTGGTGTTAACAAGTAAGGAGTTGATTTATGTTCTGCGAAAAAAAAAAGATGACGGGTGGTTAGAAAAAAAAATCCCAGTTCACTTGTCCTTTACAGGCTTCCATTCTGCGATATATATTAGTTAACAAGTTTTCCGGTCACTATTTCCCAAACTGGTCACTTTACAAAGCCTACAATCTCATAGTAAGTATCTATGGTTTACATTCATCGCGGGGCATTAATCGGATTGTAAGTAATTGGTGGTGAAGGAGATGCGGGGTTTTAAACGGTGGCAGCAAAACTGCGAGGCAGATTCATTACCGTGGCGACATTAAGTGAAATTCCCGCTGGTCCATTCACATTGCAATATTTGGAACACCTTGTTAGAACGTAGCCCCAGCCGAAAAAAAACACGCAAAAACAATCACCTTTTATTGTTTAGCATGAGTTATCCCCCTTCTTCACCATTACAAACTCTAACTTTTCGACTAATGCCTGCTCTGGTACATACACAAACATTTCGACTAATGCCTTCGCCGGTACAAACTCTAAAATTTTGGCTAATGCCTTCACCAGTACAAACTCTCACATTTCGGCTAATGCCTTCACCGGTACAAATTCTAACATTTCGACCAATGCCTGCACCGGTACAAACGAAAAGAAAAAAAGAATATCATTCACATAAGTATACATGAAATTTTCATACTATATCTATTACTCTCTTTATCTCTCTGAACTCTATATATAAACATATATAT